AGAGGAACCCATTTTCCCTATTCTTTTAGCTGCCATGAAGGATTTGCTATAAATACTCCTAGCCTTTCCCCTAACCCTTTCATCCTCCCCACGTATGTGGATGGTAGGTGATATCCATTAGTCTACACTTCTCAATGGATGAGGGTTTGGAATCTTTTTTCTTTCCACTTGCCTGGAACGGTAAACGGCAAGGACCTGAGATACTCGTCTGCTCTGAAGACTCAAGCCGTCCCTGGGATTGGCTTCCAAGATCTAGACCGAGGAGCAGGGAGTGAGCAAGCCCAGTGTTGGCTCTCACACTAAGCTACATTCTACATCCCAGTGCTTATCAGTAACAGAGATAATATTTTGTTTTTCTACCTGCTTTATCATTTCTCAATTGGTTCAGACCATGGGTGACAAAGACAGGTATCAGCAAAGACCTCAGTGTAAGTATTTAAATTAAAATTCTAGAAAAATAAAGGCAAGAAGGAATGGGGTGAAGGAAATAGAAAGATAAAAACAAATAAAGACTATCCCATGCAGAAGAATTTTCAAAATGGCTTCAAAGTCACAGGTTGGGAGGGAGGAAAAGTGGGAGAAGAGGCAGGGGAAGAGATCCTGGAAAAGAACTGGTAAATAAAAACTTCAGCTATCACATTATCTGCTCAAGGTCACATCTGTATAAGTACTTGGTATCATGCTGGTGCTCTTCACTGATGAGAAGTGACTCACCAGGATGACAGAGGTTCTGAGCTGGGCATCTGCCAGCCCATGGGGCAAGATGGCTCAGAATGGACCCTCAAGATGTACAAGCCCTGCGGACACCAGCAGAGGGGCCGGTGCCATCTGGCCAACGTCTGAAATTGAAGCACAAAGGATGTTCTCCAGAAATGAAAGCTTACTTTAAGGTCACTTCTTGGGGGTGTGAGGAAAATAGATTACAACTAGAAATCTTTACATAAATGTTCAATCTGGGGCTGAATCTTTGAACAGGGAAAGGAAAAGTCATTAAGGCAGTGTAGGACATCTGTTTGAACAATCATAAGAGAAATATTGTACATTTATTATCCTTCTTGCAGATTAACCAACAATAATCACGAACTGAAATCCTCAGTTAACTCCATGCACATATGATCAAAGAGATCATGACACGTTAAAGACTTTGTTTTCAAAAATCAAATAATTTCCCAAGTGTGTGGGGCTCCTGGCTTCCTCCTTTAGTCTAATGCTCTTCATTTTAACTCATTTGAAGGCTGAAACTGAAACTGTCTATAAAGCAATTTCTCGAATAATTTTAAAAAAGGATGAATTAGGTTCCATACACTGTTCCCATTAAGAGAGAAAAATGAGTAGAGCCTTTTAAATAAAGTTTCGATGCAAATGGCAGGATTTCCTTTCTGTTTTTTGTATGTTTGTTTTTACCACAACATGGATGAGCCTAGAAGACATATGCTAAACAAATAAACCAGGCACAGAAAGACAAGTACTGTACGATCTCCCTTATATGTAGAATCTGAAATAGTCAAATTCACAGCAGCAGAGAGTAGAATGGTGGTTGCCAAAGGATAGGAGGAGGGAAAAGCAGGAAGATGTTGGCCAAAATGTACAAAGTTTCAGTTATGCAAGATGAATATATTAGCATGGTGACTATAGTTAGCAATACTGTACTGTATATTTGAAATTTGCTAAGAGGATAGATCTTAAGCATTCTCATCACATAAAAAAAGGAAAAAAGAAAGAAAGAAAAAAGGAAAAAAGACAGAAAGAAAAAAGGAAGAAAAAATGGTAATCATGTGAGGTGATGGATATGTTAATTAGCTCGACTGTGGTCATCATTTCACAATGTGTACATATATCAAAAGCATCAATTGTACACCTTAGGTATATACAATTTTTATATGCCAATTATACCACAACAAAGCTGAGAAAAAAAAAAGAGTTGCAATAAGAACTGAGGCTGAACTGGGTCAGCTCAGGGACACTGTCTGATTCATCTCCGTATCTGCACAAGGCCCTTTCCGGCACCTGTACGTAGCACATGTTCAATAGCTGTTTGTTGAACAAATAAATGAGCCCTCTGCTAATAAGAAGATTAAATTATCTAGAAACTTCACCTTTCCTGATTACCCTTTCCTAAATATTTCCATGACTAGTATTTCTCTTTCAAAAACAAAAATCAATGTGACCTGTTTTTCCCCAAGCCTGCAGCGTATGTCATTGAGGATTGCATCTAGAAATTGAAAACAGGAAGAAAAAAACCCCACCCACACGTTTCCTAGAATTACTATTTCTGCTCCACATGGTCAGAAAACACAGTGGTTACCTGAATCGATACTTTTCAGTAGTGCGTAGAAGTTTGGGAAATACTGGAGTTCCTCAAAGTTGTCTTCTCTGTAGGTTTTAGTTCTCCTTTCTAGGCCATTTGTCAAGGTTAAAGTGTTAGATACTGTTTCATCGTTTTCTCCATTAGTAAAACCATCTTGACTTGCTGCCACTGGAGTCTGTAGTGGGGAAAAAAAAAATCAATAAAAAATAAGCATTTTGTTACAACGAATGAAACTCCAGCTAAATTCTTTCCTCTGTGATGCCCTCGAATGTGAGGTGCAAGAATGCCTCCTCCTTTGCACGATCCTGCAGGTTCAAACCTATTTCTAGGCATGTGCACTCTAATCATATACAAAGGTCATTGGGGCTTAGAAAAAGGTGCTCTACCCTGAAGACCCTGGCTCCTGCCCAGGGGAAAATAGACAGGGAATTTCTAGGTTCCTGCTCTGGCCAAGTTCACCTCCATAAGTTCTCATAAGTCTCTCACAGAATCTACCAAGAGGGATGGTGCCAGGATACAGAAAAGCCTGTCATTATGTCTAACACCAGCAGAGAAGTTGCACTTGGGAATTTCTGGGTGACATTTTAAGGGCTGTCTGGATAGGTGCACAAGAACCTTTCTTTCAGACATCATCTTTGTTCAGTGCTCCCCATCTGAGTGAATGGTCCATTCTCCATTGAGTGAACTAGATAGAAATCTAGAAGCCTTTCTTTCCTCTTTTTCTTCCTTTCCCCCCTTCAATCCACTAGTAGTGTTGGCCCTATATTCAAAATTTATCCCATGTTTGTACATTTCTCTCTCTACTATCCCACTCTAGTCCAAGCAGCCTTCATTTCTCACCTTCCAGCTGGTACACCATCCGCCTTAAATCTATTCCCTACACCGCATCTTTTACATTGTAGCCAGTGTTATCTTTTTAACAATCTGAGCATGTAACTCCTTTGCTTAAAATCCTTCAGTGTTTTCCCATGGCTCTTACAATAAAGATCTGAACCATCTATGGCTCATGGGCTCTGCATGGTCTGGCCTGGGTCCATCTCCCCAGTTTCTTCTCTCTTTGTTCTTTCTGTGCCAGCCACACTGTCCTTGATTCAGTTGCTTGGATACTGCACACATCTTTTTTTACGTGCTGCCTCTCGTGTTCACCAGTTAACTCCTATTTGACCTTCAGTTCTAAGCCCAAGTTACTTCCTCAGGGAAGCGTTCCCTGAGCCTAAGTCCAGCACAGGATTCTTTTTTATGGGGTCTCATAGAACTGTGTTTCTTTCCTTAGAGCACTTAATGCAGTTGTAATGAAAATACATGACCGTTTAAAGACCACCTACCTCTTCTACTAGACCTTAAAGCTTCATAGGAACAGTGATTATATTTTTTTAAGGGAGCATGGTATTCCCAGTGCTTAGTGCACAGTTGGTATTCAGTAAATATTTGTGCAAGACCATTTCATTTGCGTTTCATGCACATTGATGCATTCAGAGAACATGAGTAAACAGATCAAGCTACATACGTGTTAGAGATGGGTGAATGGGAGTATGCTCCGGGAGTGAAGGAGGATAAAAATAGCTGTGTCAGTTTTAGTTCAAACTGGTGTGCTTAAGTGAAAGCCATGAGTTCTTTGATAAAGCTAGAAAGTTTTTTTAGAATAGATGAGTCTTCAGAAGCTGTTTAAAAAGATGGCAACTGGTGGCGACTGGAAGTGGGGAGAGCAAAGGTGAGTTTTTAGGCTAGTGAGTGAAAAATGCAGACCCAATTCCTATTTTCTAGCCTCTATAAAACAGAACCATATGCCTAGATACTCTTTCTTTGTATTTGAGACAGGATGTTGGAGGAGATGTGGATCCACGGGCCTGGGTGCTCTGGCGAAGAAAATCAAAGGAGATGTGAGGAATGCGATACCCTCCCACGGTGAGCTTCATCCAGAGTGTTAAAAAGAATCCAAGGTGAGCAGAAAGGTTTCCTTGGTTGATGCCAAGGAAAAGATGAAGAGGCAAGGAGTCCAGAAGGGGAAGGGAGGATAGAATGACTAGTCTGGGTGAAAGGTGACAGACAGGCATCCAAACCAACGAGAAGGGGAAGGAGCAGGCAGAAGAGCACAGCCTGGGACAGACAGGCAGCATCTGGCAGCTAGCTCGGGGGATGCGAAAGCCGGGGTGCAGAGGATCAGATCGACCCACTTCTTTCCGGGGGTTTGGGGACAAATGATGACATCTGCTGTGAGCAGATGTTGGATACCAAAAGAGTTGTAAGATACTTGGTTCCAGTACACTGGAACTGTACAAGTAGTTGTTATTATGTGATGTTATTTCACATAATATTATGTATCATTTTACTGTGTGGTGTATTATAAGATATAATCTTTACTATATAATAGAATATAACATGCAATCTTTTAGCTATTTTCAAAGTAGAGTTCACTTATGTCTTTTAACTTATTGGTATTTTATGAATATACTTTTTTTTGGGTAGAGATGAAGTCTCGCTATGTTGGCCAGGCTGGTCTTGAACTCCCAACCTCAAGTGACCCTCCTGCCTCGGCCTCCCAAAGTGCTGGTATCACAGACATGAGCCATAGCCTTAAACATAGCCATCAGCCTGAAACAGGCTAAAAATGCCACATACCTCAAATATTTTTTGGCACCAGGTAAGGTATTAATTACATACAGATACAAGCATATATACACACATACACACACATCCATTTGCACATGCATATACACACATACACAACATACACATGTACATACCACTTTCTCTGGTATTTTTCCAGCCTGATTCTCAGTCCTGACTGTGGGTTTATTGGGATCCTGTTCATAATTGTTGGCTTCCTTCGAGATTAATTTTTGTAAAACCTCTGCTACTTCATCTTCCAGTGTGTGTGCTTGGCTTTCTGTGATCTGTTAGAAAGAAGCAAAACACATAACTGCTATTCCCAGTCTTGTGACTTAAAA